CTGGCAGCGGGATTAGCTTCCTGCATCGAGAATGAGTGGAGTCTACAAACACAAACACACACACACACACACATACAGACTGCATGAGGCACGGTGGGGGTCTATCTAGTTTTACAGTCAAATATACTCCTTCACTTAAACAAACAGTCCAATTTGGCTGATTAGTCTTTAACAACTTTTATGACCTGGGTCCATTATCTCAGGCAGAATTATTATCCAGACAGCAATAAGCTTCGGCAATAAAACAGACGACTTTATGTTAAGGTAACAGAAGGTTAAAGGAGAGTTTCACAGCCTAAGAAAGAGCTGCCAGAGAGTCTCAGCTCTGGGCAAGTTGTGTTTCATGAAGCTATTAATGATATTTCTGGTTTTAGCGCAACTGAGAGTTTACATACGTTGCTGCTATTTAATACTTTATACGTTTTGGAGCACATTTAAACGGCTGTAAAAAAAATCTCAATTATGAAAATGTGTTTATTCCTGTTTTTAGAAACTGTAATTACATGATTTGGGTTCTTGTAATTTAAAGAAATTTCCAATGCAATTAAAAGTATAAAAAATACATTTTTCAGTGTGAACAGTAAAGTAGGTACTTTTCATGAGATAGTAGCTTAACTTACATTGAATCCTATGGAAATGAGTATCACAGTTCAGGTTTTAGAGCTTTATGTATCAGGGGTTTGTCCAGGGAGAGTTCAAACGTTTTGTGGAGCTGTCATGTCCTCCATCTTTTTATATAATATATTGGTGAAACCGAGGAGGACTCGGCTCCCCAAGACCACCCCTGGACACACCCCTGTTTAACGGTACTCAAGCAAAACCTTGCATTCAACACTTGTAAAGTAATTAAAAAAATACTAAAGTGTGTTTGAAATGAATGACGAGCGTCTCTGAATGCAGTTCTACCTGTACACAGCGCTGGTCTCTGTGCTATAAGAGGCCCGCACCATCACTTTGTTCACATTAGCCAGCACAGACAGAAAATCCCTCCGACTGATCGGCTGTGCGGTCTCTGAAACCAGGAAGTTCTCCGGGAGGAGAGCAATCTGATTGGGGCTCGGAGAGGATGGGTACAGAGGCTGGCCATAACGTCTGTCGATGATCTTGATCCCGCCTCCCTGGCAGAGAAAGTAAAAAAAAAAAAAACTTTTAGTTTCCTTTGTTGCAGTTCACTTTTAATTCAATAAATCTTCAGAGTAGTCTTTAGAACATCAATTCAGCATGACAAGTCTTTCAGAAAGGACTATGATATTCAACTGATCGGGAAAAGAGGACAGTAAGGGTGAATGATGTGTCATTAGGTAATGAGCTGAGGTTTCTATTGACATTTTGAATGGACTGAATACAAAGTGAATTGAGGCCGGGCCTGCTATCTGACTATCTCTTGTTGAGAACAGATCAATGGCATGTAGCGCCTAACGCAGAGTGACAACTACTGGAGGAGGGAGAGAGGGAGAGAGAGAGAGGCGAGAGAGAGAGAGAGAGAGAGAGAGAGAGGGAGCTTAAGATGCCAATAAACCATTAAATATAAACTAATTGTAAGAGAGTAGATGGAGAGAGGGATAACCAGACAGAGAGGAGAAGCAGGGTATAGAGAGAGATTCAGAGATAATGACAGAAATAAAAATAGGAAAATAAATACCATACAAAGCCACCTCAGGAAAAACTCTCGTAAAGATTCAAGTATGCATCATGGTCTGGGATTTTAGAGTTAGATTTGCACATTCCAATTTATTTCTTATCATGAAGAAATCCTATGAAATCCCCAAAATGAATACCAATGCATTAGTGTGTCCGTCAATATACATACACTCAGCTCTCAGCTACAACAGATGTTTTCTTTACTGAACAGAGCAACAATATAAGTTTACTTTTTTCTGACAGAGAGTACAGATCTTACTTAGACAGCTCGGACACTGTACAGTTTTCATCTAATATGACTAAAACTAGGGTTTGAAAGCACATTCTTGGGTCTATTTCCTTCTGAGGATTAGTACACATTTGTTGAACTTGTGAGTATCTCTGGCAGGAGAATGGATTATATCGGATGGACTCAGAGAAACTGCAGTGCATATGTTCATTGCAAGAAAAGGCCAACATGTAACAAAGTGCAGCAGTGTTGCTAACTGATGTCTTTCAAAGTTCTTTCTTGTGAAACAATGGAGGTCAACGTCTCAACGAGTGGAATACAGATTTTAGTAAACATTGAAATGGCGTGGAGTTTTTCTGAAAACCCCCGTGTACAGCGCCAATTCATTACAAATATTATCTCAATACACTTTACAAAAGAGCAGGTAAAATACCTTACTCTTTGCTAAAAAAAGACACAACGTTAAGCCATCATAAACACAGCACTAATCAACAAGTTAAATCTGTCTGATTATATGAGAGAGCATATCTTTTCTGGTTTCTAGATCATTTAAGAAGAACATATTGCAGTTATAAGAGCAGGCAGCTCATCTACTGAGGCTACATTCCTCTTCACACCGGTCACAGGTTCAACTCCTGATCTTTAAGATATTTGGTGCATGTCATCCCCAACTCTCTCTCCCCATATTTCCCATCACTCTATATTCGTCCCATTCAATAAAGACCAGAATAATAATCTGAAAATAATCATAAACATAATTAACTTTTTTGTTCTTTGCAGAATGAGAAACTTGTCATGAAAGACTTGGTAATTAAATTGTTTTTTTTTTAAACTCTGCTGATGGAGGCTGATAAAGTGGGTGGGTTTAAGACAAAGACATGGGAATAATAAACAAAGCCAGCCAGACAAACAAAGACACAGAGATGATTGTGTATTCAGATCCACACAACGTTACAACAAAGACACAAGTGTCTTCATGCGTTTCACGACAAACAGTATCACAGCCGGCTTCAGAGAGACGGCACAAAGCGAGACACGAGCTGAGAGAGAAACGGTGAAGAGGAAGAGAGGCGTCTGACAGTGTGTAGGTGGCTCATTATCGTCATCATCTGGTCGGGCTTTTTGTTGACAAGCAGACTGACACTTGTCCTCCTTTCCTCCACACCCCTCCCCTCCCTCCCTCCTCCCCGTCTGTCCATCTCTGTGACATGTCTTTAAATAACACATGCTCGCTGCTCTCTGTCCATCACTCTGTAACTCTGCTTTTTTTTTTGTCCTCTCTGTACTTTTTCAAACTTTTATTCACTCCTTTTTTCTTCACCCCTGTTTCTTTTCTTCATCCTTACTTCACTTCTTCTTATTTCTAAGATTTATTTATTTTCTGTTTTTATACTTCCTCTGTTTATTCCCTTCTATCTTTTCCCCCTGCTAATTTACCTCTTTTTAATTTTTCTTCATTCCAACATTCTTCTTTTTTTGTTCTTTCCTTCTCTTTTCTTTCACCCTTTTTCATCCTACATGTTTATTTCCTGCTTTTCTTCCTTCCTTTGTTCCACCTTATCTCCCCGATTATTTAATCATATTTATTTCCTTGTTTTTCTTCCTATCCATTTCCTTATTTCTTCCTTCCTATATCACTTTTTTCCTTCCCCATGGCTTAAAATTCCCCTAGCTTCTGGTCTTATTTGTTCGTTTATTTTATTTTATTCCTCAATCCTATTATATCTATATATCCTTTATGTCTTTCTTTCCTTCATTCTCTCTTTCACCTTTCTTGTGTTTCTTTATTTATTCCCTTGTTCCTTTCTTCTTTTTCCAGTTTTTTCTTGTCTCCTCCTCCCTCATGACTTCTTCTGTCCGTCCCTCCGTCCCTCTGTGCAACCTTGATTTCTTCCTTTCCTTCTATCCTTTCCTCTACCTTCTCTTGTTCTCTTGTTCTCTTGTCTCATTCTTCTTCTTTCCTTCTTTCTTTCTTTCTTTCTGCCTTGGAATTTGATTGATTTTTTCATTCATTACTTCCAACATCTCATCTATGTTGCCTTATTTCCTTGACCCGTCATTCCTCTGTCCGTGTTTTCACTTTCTGCAGAAAGGTGCATTTTATTTCACATTACTTAAAGGCAAGAAACTGAATCTCCTAATACACTAATAATTCTTATTTGAACCCTTATATAGTCGAATGTTTCATTCCTACTAGATTAAACTAGTTTATATACAGTATATGTACTTTTCTGTTCGTGCCTAAGGACTGGACATAGTTGTGTGTGTAAAATAACAGGATAATTTCTGCAGCTCTGGCACACTCTGAACATGCAGAAACACACACTGTCCTGCTGCAAACACACACACACACACACACACACACACACACACACACACACACACACACACACACACACACACACACACACACACACACAGTTGTGTTAGTGATATAGGCGGTATAAACTGTTAACTAATAGAGTTGCTGCTTTGCTTATTGCTGCCATACATCATATCACAACCTGCTCATTATAAAGACAAGAGAGAATGGGGAGGGGGGACTCTCCATCTGCATTTTTTTATTGCTAAGGTCAGCATTTCTGTGCAAGCTGGAGCTTTTGTGTGTGTATGTGTACATATGTGTGTGTGTGTGTGAGTGTGTGTGAATGTGTGTGTTTTCAGCAACTTTTATTTGGAACTTTCTCTCGTGGACTTCACTGGTGCATAACTCAATGAGACAATACATATAATGCTGCAGGCACAAATACATGAACAAGCCCACATTTACACCACTTTTAAATTGGGTTTCGACTGGTTGGGAGAAATTTCCCTCCAACGCAAAAAAAATGTGTTTTTCTCAAGTGTTAGAGACATCCCGATCAATTTGCTGAAGACCAATGTGCTGAACCAGAAAATGAAGCATATTTCAGGACTTTTTTCCTGCCAAGTGCCTCTTATGAATAACTCTAATGTAATAAAAAACGTAAATAAATGTGCCAATGTTCGTGGCTGTTTCCATCTTTGTGCATGTTTAAAAACGTACCTCTATGATCAGGTCGGGTTCTGAAGTGACTCTGATGAGTCTTTGTTCCTGTTGGTCTGTAGAATAAGACACAGAGTACACCACGCTCCCTCCGTAGGCTGTAAGCTGAGAAAACACACAAAGAGACAACAGGTTTATATTTGATCCAAACTCTGTGGAAATTCAGATAAATATTGATGATATTTATGATGCAATACAGCCCAAGCTCATATTCTAAGGAAGTTAGCGAGACGTTGATTCTCGTCTAATAAAATAGTTTTTCATTGGAAAAGTAGGTTCACTTATTCTGTTCAAAAGTTATAGTCTTGCTTTAGATAAGCATGCATCAATACCAACCACACTCCACACCAATAGGGGGCGCTTGGAGATTAAAGGGAAAGAGTAACCAAAAGAAACCTAAAGTTAGAACAACACTGCACAGAGGAAGTGACAAAGACAGCTGAACAAATGTGAAGATTTAAACTTCACTTGGATGGTATCTTGTGCAGTTTTTTGACCCCTAAAAGTCTTTCAGCTCAGCTTTTGAATGGGTGAGTGGACATTGTTTTTCTTTAGGTTTAGCACAGACTATTTACCAATATCACTGAACACAGGTAATGCTATAACCCATTCCTATGGTACCACACTAGTGAATTAATCTACAGGTGACACACCAATGAAACACAAACAGAAAAGTAGAACCCTTTTGCAAGGCAACATTAATAATCGCACCTTAACACATTTATTGATTCTGCAACTGTGTAATATGGGTGTCCCAGTCTGTGAATTCACGTTGCCTTGTGGTGCTGCGGAAGTGCAAGTGAGCATCGTAAAACGGGAGGTCCACATACACACACACACACACACAGTCAGAAATGCACACACACACACACACACACACACACACACACACAGTCAGAAATGCACACACACACACACACACACACACACACACACACACACACAGTCAGAAATGCACACACACACACACACACACACACACACACACAGTCAGAAATGCACACACACACACACACACACACACACACACACACACACACACACACACACACACACACACACACACACACACACAGTCAGAAATGCACACACTTAGACTTAGACTTAGACTTAGACTTTCTTTATTGTCATTCAAACTTGTACTTTACAGTGCAGATAAGAACGAAATTTCGTTGCATTTGGCCCGTTGTAGTGCAGGATAAAACAGCAGCATGTATTTACATAGAAAAATAAAAATGTAAATACATGCTGCTGTTTTATCCTGCACTACAACGGGCCAAATGACACACACACACACAGCGTTGCCCTCCCTCGCTGGCTCTGCCGATCCTGTCATGCCTCTTTTACTACATTGGAAGACGGTACATTGTGCCTCTGTGACATTCATATTGAAGGTGAAACGTCACAGTGGCATAAATACTGTAAAAACCTTGACATGGGGGTTTGAATCAGGCAAACATGACCAAACAACAGTCACATAATGCTAAGATAACTTGCAACAAGGAGGACCAATTGGTAGTGTAAAACCCATGTTATGCATTTGTATCCTGTTGTATGAATCCTTCTTATTTGAACTGCTGAAATGTTCAACATACTGGTATGGAAATATTTTGAATGCAAACACAAGTCATAGCACAACTAAGATCGTTTAAAACAACTGCAGAAACAGTAGTTCTGACTTTCAGTTCTAGCTTCATCTAAAAGTGCAGTATATACAAAACTAACTTTCCCTTTCGACAGACTCAAAATCAAGCCCAAATGTTTTCAAGTGTGAACTTCAAATTCTTTTCAAAATGATCCATTGAATCATTAGTTAGCTCATGAAATTCTACATAACACCTTCAGATTAAGATGTATCTTAGCAACAGCACTACTTTACAAATGTCACAACTATTTCAACAGCAACACACTGAAACCAAGACGTGCTTCGACTTCTGATGTTGCCACTCCCTAAAAGAAACAAAAACATTCAAAAGTGTTCAGAAAGTAAGAAGATGAAGAATATGCCAGAATCATTGTCGCCTTGTGTTTCTGTAGGGTTTCTGTCGAGTCCACAGAATGAGCTTTAGGAGCAGAAACGCAGCGTCGGCATGATCCTGAAATTTATTATTCTGCTCCAACCTGAACAGTAATGGGTGGGAGAGCGAGATAATAATGCCAACCATAAAAACTGAGAGAGGGGGACATTGAGGAAGAGGGGGAGAAATAGAGACAGAGGGAGGCAGAGAGAGGGTGTAAGAGGTGAGCTTAATGCCTCTATAAACCTCTTCCATTCTACATCATTACTCTCAGTTCTTAAAGCGCGAGGAGGAATCAGCCATTTCACAGCTGACTGAAAATACACACACACACACACACACACACACACACACCAGCGGGCATGGAGGTGTACGTTTTATTGACTAACACTTATTCTCTATCTCTAACCCCATTTGCTGATTTGGACTTCAGAGGATAGTAAAATCATAGTTTAAACCCACATTACACAGACTGCGAATGTCAAAGACTTCAACCTCCTCCAACATCCTCTCATCTGCACTCTCATCCAGACTCTAAATTCACACTTATGTGTCTTGTACAGAAATACATCTAGTTTTTTGTTTTTTTTCCCACTGCAACAATGAGCAGCATCATGGTAGTTGAAGACAGCACAGAAGATGTTTTACAGACAGTGCTGAATCTAGGGGGTCCTAGGCAATAATTAATTGGGCGCCCCTCCAACCAGCCTTCATTATTATTTCCCTCTCTCTTTTTTCTCTCGCAGATGGATAATTCCTCTTCATTTAACCTTCATTGACAAATTTTGTTTTCACAGCAATAATGCATGAGACACTTAGCAGGGCATTGAGAGTGAGCGGTGTCAGATGGGGCCCCCTTAGGGAGGTCTCCTACTGCCATTGCAAAATTTTCACATTTTGAGGCATTGCTGTGTTGTAAAGTTGGTCAGCCCTTGGGGGCCCTCTACTGGCTTGGGGCCCCAAGCAGTTGTCTGCCTTGCCAATTGAAGCCGCTCCTCTGTTTACAGATAATGCAAACAGAGTTTTTGTAAAATTAGACCCACGACATTACATGGCTTACATTTCAATAATGGACTTCAGCAATGGAGAAAGTTAAAAGAAAAAAAAAGAGCCGGGCTGGTAGACCAAACAAGGCCGATGATATCATGGCATTGCCTATGGCATTGTTATGAGATTAAGAAATAAATAAGATACTCTAAGGCTTTGAAAAGCTCCACCCTTTTTCACCAGGCGATCACTAAAAGAGTCTGAATACTGCTGGGCAGGTCATGTACAGTAGGCTTTTACAGCTTCCCAAAGTATTTCTTTTGAACATGTTTTACGGGACTGAAAAAGGTAAATGAAAACCATTACAGCAACGCTTTGAAGCAGAAACGGGCTGTTTTGTCTTCTTTCCTATTTGTGAAAACATTTCATGAAGCTCACACCATTGGGGTCCTGGGCACCATGTTGGGAATTGTTGATGTACAGTATTCTTTTATCCTTGTTTGTATTGTTCCTGTTTTTGATCAGTCACCACTCAGCAGCATACGAATTCATCCTAAGAATAAGAGATAGCTTCATCCGTGTGTTCTTGAGAACTCCACGTCCTCCAGGCACGACTGAATTTAGCAATTTGCTTCTTTGGAAATTATTGCCATTTCTCGGAAAACTCGATTCTGTGACGCCATCCACTCAACCTGGAGCGCAATCACAACCTTTGTTATGACAACCTGATAACCCGAGTCCACCCTGTTGGGGTGGTGATGGTGGTGGTGGGGGGGGATAAAGGAAACAAAACACATGCGATAGAAAAGACCAAAAGAAAAGCACAGTGGGAGAACAGAATTATGGGAAAGGAGAGGGGTATTATGGGAAGTGGAAATGAAGGGACAATAACCACTCAGACACAGCTACAATAGACATCAGTCGGATCCCCAGGAGAGCTCCATAAGCCTGTTATTAACTCTATTAGCGGACAGAATAAGAAACATAATCCTTGCTGCTAAAACCCTAATCAAGAACATGGCACAATCTTCATTAAAGTGAACCTCTTGTAATAGTCTTGGAAATATCCGTTTATACAGGCCATTCAGGTTAGGGTGAAAGAGCTAAATTGTTTCATATCACAACAGTAATATCTACTGAAACAGAAGAAAACATGTTGACCTGAATAGTTTGTTGAGATGGGAACAAACCATTTCTTCTGATGTTAGAGCTGAAGTTTTATCAGATTGATAATAACATTTTACTCTTGAATTTCAAGCTGTTAGCTTTTAGTTATATACTGTGAATGCAAGAATCAAAAAACAATAATCATTGTACCGCTTCCTCAATGATCAGAAATTGATGAAACTATAAAGAGGGAAAATCTGGAGGGACACTGAGTCATTAAACCACTGAATGGATTAGCCATTGGCTACCAACAGGCAAGCTAATGTGAGAATCCAAGGCCTTCGGATTATAGTTACAAAAGGGATACAACCCTTTCCAATTATTTCGAGTAACACTGTTAATAAGTAATGTTAGCACTCATTATTTCCCTTAAGCTAATGTTAGCTACGGATAATGGCAGCGCAGAAGTAGCTGAATAAGCATTGAACTAATTAGGTAAAATTACTTTCCTCTACATACAGGCCTTTTGATTTCTCTTTATGTTTCAATGATAATTGGTAACATTTACACTCTTCTTCTCTGAAAAAAATTATGTTAGCCAACAGTAATTTTGCCAATTTTGATTTGCAGAGGGACTGCAGATGTAACCTAGCTCTAGGCTAACTCTGGTATAACGCATCAAATGGCAACATTTTCATCTATTTAAAATCTGAACAACAGCTTTATGACATTTAACAGCATTTAGCCTACCGCCCCTTGTGATTGCACATACTTGACATTATTGTGAGGAAATGTACAACTCTTCACAGAACCAGCAGTGTTGGCGTCATCTTTGCTATAGCTGTTTATCAGTTAAAGTGGACACAAGTCGACAGGCAGAGGATACGTAAGAGGGAGAAACAAAAACTTTGATAATGTGCAGAAGTCAGAACAGTAAGAGAAAAACACAAACACAATGAACAAGTGAGAGGGAGGAGGGAGGAGGGTAACAAG